CTGGGGGTGGGAAGCCTGGATAAGATATGAAGAACAAAAAGAGACTTGTCACTGGTTAATCTTAGCTTATAGTTTGCTGCCTTCTACCTTTCATGAACTGTTTCTCCTCTACAGTGCCCCTCTGCCATGTCACCCTGCCATGGGGCCAGTCAACTCTGAACTGAAACCTCTACAAACTGTGAGCTAAGTAAATGTATTTTCCTTTAACTTTAGGTATTGGGTATTTTGTCTCAGCAATGAGAAAAACAATTAAGATACCAGTTAACAAAAAGAAAGGCTGAGTTGAGCTAGATATTAAGAATGAAAGGTCTAAGCAAATTAATTGGCACATAGAAATTCTACATAAGGGGCCTGCAAGATAGCTCAGCAGACTAAGCGCCTGCTTAGGCAAACACAGGGACCAGGGTCCATGACACCACATGCCATGCCAACCCTGCCCCCGGGCACACTGAGCCAGCCACTGAGACCAGGCATGGTGGCGCAAAACTGTAATTCCACTGCTGGGGAGGCTGAAAATAGGAGGATCACTATAAGTCCCAGGTGCATAGTGAGACCCAGTACCAAATACATAAGAAAGAAAGAAAATCTACATAATGTCAATAATTTGCATTCAGAAAAAAATCACCTGGGAAGTGCCTATCAATGCAAATGGCAGAAAAGTCTGCATAGAAATAAAGTAGATAACTACATTTTTAACAACCACCTTAGCTGATTCTAATATGAATAATTTTGAGATAACATTTGGATGCCAGGATTTTAAAACTCCAAGCTCTTACCTAAGCCTTCTTTTGAGTCTAAATCAATATATTAAACATAATAATGCATATTTAATTAAAGTAGTCATGTAAAATGAAATAAATAGGCAAATTCAGTTTACTTAAGCTAGACAGGGTAAATCAAAGTTGAGGAACTTTGTTTACAACCTTGGTTAGTATCCTTCAGAACTCGGTGCCACAAGATATAAAAGGAAAAAGTGATTCTATGTGGGCTTTTCTTCTATTCCTTTGAAAGAATACATAAAACACTGAAGTTACCTAATTTTAGAATATTAAATATGGGGGCTAGGGATATAGTTCAGCCACACCTACTTAGCAAGCACAAGGTCTTGAGTTCAATTCCCAGAACCAAAGAAACTCCTACAAAATATTAATTATGCTGAAAACTGTGTGTGTGTGTGTGTGTGTGTGTGTGTGTGTGTGTGTGTAATAGGGATGACAGATGACTAGGGGTAGGGTGAGAGTTACTTTCTGACCAACAGCAATAATCAGAAAAATATAATTCTGAGATTCACACAAGATACAATTAAATAGAATCTGTCCTTAGTTTAAGCATCCCTACTCCTGATGTTAGGATTGTAATTTCATGATCCCCACTGCAAACATTTACTAATGAAAGAATTAATTAATTAATTAATTATGGACAAACTGAACATGTGTAGCATTGCCTAATTAATAAAATTCCTAGAGAACTGAAATACTCTTATCCTCACTTCCTTTAGGGAAACCAGAATATGCCTATGTTCTGGGTTTGCATGCTTTCTGAGTCATATATTATAAAAAAGCATGCTATTTCTCAGTCCATAAACTTGTAAAAGGTGCTCTGGCATAGTAAAGACTTAATGACTTGGTGACTTTGAACAAGTTATTCAAGTCCCTGAGCTAAGGCTCAGCCTCGTCAGCTATAAAATAGGTGCCCAGATCAATCTTGTTAACCCCAAACTCCAGAGGCCAAGAGATCACTGAAGCTAAAGGATTCTTTGAGCTAATACAGATGCTAGTCAGGAAGAGAAATGACCAGGCCTGGGACAAGGTTTTGCAACTATCAGCACAGAGGTTAGGTAACAGTTGGAAAACATCTGCTAGATCTATGAAATTTATAATACAACCATGGGGAAGGAAAGCACAAATTATTCTGAACCACACTAGCTATTGAGGAGTGAGATTAGCCCAAACAAGCTTTAGGACAGGAAGACAATGTATAAGGAAAAGTGGAGATTACCCTGGGCTTGGCTAGAGCTGAAGCAGGATGCAACAGCATCTAGGGTAGTGGTGGCAAACCTATGGCAAATGTGCCACAGCTGGCTGCTATCACTGAAAGCTTTAAAAGGTTCCCTATCACTGATCTAGGGAGTCACAACACATATTCAAGAACATAAAAAGTCTTTTGTCCTCTTTGGCTTGTAATTTGTTGTTGATTAATCTCTCCCCATCTCTCTTCCTTTCAGTCCCTTGATCCTTCGTGAGTAAATGTGAGACATCTCAGAATTTTTCTCTTATCAATCTGTATTCATGGTCTAGGCTCTTTCCACTCAACCATGACGCTTCCCACACCACAGTGCCTAACTGAGGTTTATGTGGGAGGATCACATGAGATAATTTTTGTAAAAGTGCTCTGTAAGCTGTAAAGCACCATACAGATGAAGCGGATTATTATTAGTCTTTTATGAAACCTAGCCATAAAAATGCAGAATGACCCAGAAAATGAAAACGGGATAGGCAAACCTGAAATACAACATCCACGGCGCCTAGCACATGACCTCACATAAATGGTAGTAGGAGTTTAGGAAGTACTGAGTAAAGAAAAACACAAAATGGGCTTGAGTCTGCCTCCACCATGTTAGATCTGATACCAAAGAAAGAAGAAATGTATCTAAAGTCAAATGCCATGCCAGCCCACTATGCCATGCCAGCCCCACCCCAGGGCAAGTCTGGGCATGGTGGCACACACCTGTAATCCCAGTGCTAGGGAGGCTGAAAACAAGAGGATCACTGCAAGTCCAAGCTGCATAATGAGACCCTGTACCAAATACATAAATTTTAAAAAAGAAAATAAAAATAAAGAAAAGGATAGTTTTACTCAGTCACACAAACCCAGAATGCCCCCCAGACCCTAAAATCTTAAATGAAGGAACACTCAAATGTAAGAGGTGACCTACCATCTACAGCGAAACAGTTATATCCCGCCTTATCTCCTCCATCTTTCAAATGCAGCCGTGTAGAAATAGAAGCTGGGTGAAGTTGCCGAAGTGTTCCCTGCGTCTGGTTGATCTGTATAGCTGCCCCAGCAGCCCCTAGAGGAAATAACAAAATTCTGTAGACTGTTGGTTACCTAAACTCCATTTTTGATCTGAGGGACTGACTCTTACTGATAATTCTAATTTTAAGCCAAACCAGATTCATTCCCTAACCGAGTGATGGTGAACCTTTCAGAGACAGTGCCCAAACTGTAATACTAAACTCACTTATTTATCAGAGTGCCAACACTGCATTTTAAACCTGAATACTGAGGTTTTACTTTAGAAAAAAAAAAAAAAAAAAAATGCTAAAATTAAAAAAAAAAAAAAAAAAAAACCTCCTACACTTGGCTTACGTGCCAGCAAAAAAATGCTTTGCATGCCCTACACCTAGGCCTGCCATAGGATCGCCATTATTGCCCTAACCCCTTTCCCCCAAACACAAAACAAGAAAGGGGAAGCAGGGATGGGGGAGGTAGGCAAACAGTTATTTACTGTATAAAACTTGATCTGTTTCCTAGAATACGTACACTACGATTCAAACTTAAATATTTAAATTCATCACATGCAAAATTTTTGACAGTTATTTGTAGAATAAGGCAGACCCATGCTAGGAAATACCAAATTTAAAAATGTCAAAGGAAAAAAATTGTATTCTTCTGGGTGGGCCTTAATTGCCTTCTTTATCCCCCACTGCAAATATATTTTTATGCTGGGTAACATTTCCAAAACAGGAGTGTTTTTTCGCTGTCGAAACAAACAAGTTTGCTTTCAAAGCCACAGAAATGCCCAACTGTTAGAAAAAAAAATGTTTTTCTCTGGCCCCTTGCCTGTCCTATTCCCTTATAGCCTTGCCCATTGGCCCCTTTCTCTAGGAGGGCCCCTGGAGCTGTCTGGTGGAACTGATTGTAGAACTATTTTGTGCAATAAGAATTAGTTTCTTCAACGTCTCACAGACCACCCACAACATGCCCAGTCTTGGCAAATGTCTGCTGGTTTCCCCAGTGCTTGATGAACTGCACAATGAGTAACTGACCCGAGTTTCTGCGTCTCCGCTTGAGAACAGATGAGAGTGAAACTCCCTTACTTTCTGATGAGGAGAGGAAGAAAAACCCTTACCAAAAATCTATGCAAAATTCATCTTGCTCCTTTGTTTCAGAGGGAACAGAGGTAGAGAATTGGGCAAACTAGGCGGTCTCACAATTGCAGAAGCATTTAAAGGGTGCATAGAGCGAAAGTATTTGTTAGAAGTGCCCTTGAACCCGGGGCCCCTGGGCAGTGGGCCCCAAGGCCTCCTGCGCGGGATCCACCTCCGGCGATAGCAGGGTTCCATATCTCAGAGTATGGTGGACGAAGGCCAAGGGAAGCAGAAGCTCCGGGAGAACAGGCCATACTTTTGCCTCAGCCTGTTACACGTTCCTCTCCTCATGGCCTCTTCTATCACATAGTAGGTGCTCAATAAATGCAGGCTCGAGCTCCCCCGCCTCGAGGCGAAGTACTGGGCCAGCGGGCTGATTCTGACCCACCATCTCCTCAGGCTCGTTAAGGTAACCTGACTTCGGCTTAGGTGGTGAGCCTCGGAGCTTGGAAAGCCGCAGAGGCTGCGCCAGGCGAGACTAAGGGCGCCCACCTGACCGCCACAGGGGCTGCGCAGGTCTCGCTCCCATTGAGGAGGAGGCCCTGCCGGCAGGATGGAAAGGGGCGGGGCCGGGGCGCTGGCGTTCAGACCACGCCCCAAGCCCCACCCTCCAGGCACGAGGCTCCGCCCCTGACCCCAGGCCTCGTCCTCCCGCGCCCCGCCCGCGCCTAACGCAGGCTAGGAGGGAGCAAGGTGGGGAGAGGCTACGCCGCGCGAGCGCGTGCGCGCCACTGGCCGCTGACGCGACCCCGGCGCGCGCACCGCCCACGTCTCCGCCCGGCCTGTACCGGGGGCCCGACGCGCGGCCCTGCTGACGTCAGCGGGCGGCCTGCCGAGCCGGGTGCACTGAGCCGCTGGCGCCCTCGCGCGCTGCGCTCGCCCCCTCCCGAGTCCCGGCCCGGCGTGCGCGCGCCTTCTTTCGCTGGTTCGCTCTCTCTTCATTTCTCCCCCTCCCTCCCTCGCTCTCTCTCCTAGAGCTCCCGCGGCCGCCGCTCCCTCACGCTCCCCAATCTCGGATAGGCTCAGCCGAGCGATGCAAGCGGTGGGAGACGGCGACGCCGCCTCCTGCTAGAGCCCTGCCCCCCCCCGGTCCGGCCCCCTACCCAGCCCTGCCCAGCGCGCGGGGGTCGTTGAAGGCGCCTTGGACGCACCGACGGCGGAGCCCCGGCGATGCACTTGCAATAGCAGCACCCCCTAACTCACGCCCTCCACACCCCGCGCCGCCGCCTCCGCCTCCGCCTCCTCCTCCGCCTCCTCGGGCAGCCGCGGCAGAAGGACCCACCCTGCCCCCACCCCACCCTCCGCCGGCTCCGGCTGCGGATCCAGCCTAGACTCTTATTTTATTTATTTTGGGTCGTGCACCAGCCTCAGTGCCTGCAACCCGCGCCTCCTCGGCCCTTGGGCGCCTCTTCCTTCAGCTTGGGAGACCCAGACCCGGGCCACCTTCGCCTCCGCACCCCCAGACCCCTACCGGCTGCCGCGAGTATCCGCTGCTGGGATTTTCATAGCGGCTGTCTGTTTGGGGGTCCCTGGTTTTTTGGCATTTTTGTTCTCATCCAAGGAGAAAATATCGTGATTTTTCCCCCTCTGAGCCCAGGCTCTGCTCTCTGGGGGGGTGGGGGGCGCGCCGAGCCGGGGAGCCGAGCCAGCCAAGTCCTGCGGGCTGTGGCAGGGAAGGGGCCACCACCATGGGATGTACTCTGAGCGCAGAGGAGAGAGCCGCCCTCGAGCGGAGCAAGGCGATTGAGAAAAACCTCAAAGAGGATGGCATCAGCGCCGCCAAAGATGTGAAATTACTCCTGCTGGGTAAGGAACGCTGCTGCCTCCCCCATTCCCCGACCCCGGCCACAGCGCAGCCCCTGCCACCAACTCCCCCACCCCACTTGCGCCCCGGGCGACCTAGTCCCTGAGTTGGCACTACCATGTGCCTAGGATTGCTCACCCCTTTGCATGCCTTAAACCCCCTCCCCGTTCCCCTAAACTGACACTCACCAGTTTTTTCCCCGTCTGTGTCCCAACAGGGGCTGGAGAATCAGGAAAAAGCACCATTGTGAAGCAGATGAAGTAAGTCCCTGTAGCCCTGGGATTTGTACTTTTATTGAGAATATTTTTTAAGATCGTTTGTATTACCTTGCTCACTCTACATTGCTCTCCAGGCCTCGTTTTTAATTCGTACACACACACACACACACACACACACACACACACACCTGGGTTTGAGTCCCCTCCCCCACTCCCTACGTTGGTTCTGGGTCCTCCACCCCAACTCTTGGGGTGGGTGGTTTTCGGGGGAGGGAAGGGGAGCGCCTGTAGTTGTATGAATGACAGTGTCCGCCATATTGATCAGAACATCACACTATTGGCATGGTTATGATCATTACTCTTGCTTGTGGAGTAGTCCTTGTGTTTCCGCTGCCTCCATTTCTCTGTCTCTGTCTCAATCTCCTCCTCCTTCAGTGCCCTCCACCGCGTCTATAATCCCGCTTCCCCTGCTCTTCTCTCAGGATAGTGATTTTAAACTTGGCTAAAACATGGAGGGGACCCAGCCCTAAACTGGGGTGGAGGACCAAGTGTCTGCTGTTCATGTATTTGGTGCTGAATTGGAGGCTGTGGTTTTTACTAAACCCCCCCCCAGGGTTTAGGGGAGGGGGCGTGTGCTAGGGGAAGGAGGGGGTTTCCAAGCGGTTGTGCTAGGCACAGCTGTATGCGAACCTGAGATTGAAGGGGAAGCTAGCTGTAAAACTGAATGCTCGGCCCTTGCTGCCCCTGAACCCTGTGCTCCCCCGCTCCCAGAATTTGCTCCCCTGACACGGACAGTTTTCGTTGGCTTGGTGGCCTTTATCAGTGCATGTATTTACACTCTGCATAGACCGTATAATCTGTGTAATCTACTCACAATGCGGATTTCGGGCCCCAATTGCCAGCCGCCTCCTGCCTTAGATATCAGTTTCCCTTTCTAATTAACTGGGGGTGGATTTGAGTGATGGTTGAAAATTAAAACAAAATGGGATATTCCTTCCTTTCCACACTTTCTCGATAGGGAGCCTCGCCCCTCCTTCCCGCACGCAGGCTCGCTTCTTGTCCCATCCACTCGGCAGCTCCTGGCGAGCGCACAGGCAGCTTTGCTTGGGAAGGGGGTGGCTGGCCTGGGAGGGGTACGCGCCCTCCCAGCCTCAGAGCCCGCTGTTTCCGTTGGCCTGTCAGTTCGGGACGGAGGAGTTCGTTAAGACCGTTTAGCGAGGATTCCACGTCGCTTTGCTGTGACACCTTCGCGCACACACAAGCTCCTAATTAGAGGCTGCTGTGCAGTAAACAAAAATGATTATTTTTCAACTTGACAGAATAGCTGAAGTAATTGCATCCCATAGGAAAACAATGGAAAATAAAAACCCCTTTCGTGGGAAGGTGGGTGGGAGACAAAACATGCTTGGGGTTTCAGAACCAAGAAGTAAAAAATCTTGCATGTGTAACAGGCATGACAAGCGGGTTCCAGGCGGCGCCATGATGGTAGGGAGTAGCGGCTCCGAGACAGTTTCCCCCATCTGCTTGACGTGTTCTTGTTTTGTTCGAGAGCTCCCTGGGGCTTTCTTCACAGAGGCCCCTCGGCTTGCCGCACCCTTCTCAGCCACGGGTAACTTGGCCTGGGGCTTCTCTGGAGCTTGTGCAACCCAAAAGGATGGGAAGGCGGGGCATGGGGAATTGCTCTTTGCCATAAGGTTCGTGTTGATTTTGCCAGGAGCCTTTCCAGTCGGGCAGTGCAACCCGCGCCACCGCTTTCTCCCTAAAGGGAATGTTTCAAAACTTCGAAAGTCTGTATTCCGCAGTGGCAGGCTGCGAACTCGGTAGAAGCCCCGACTCCGGTGCTGGGTGAGGTTTCAGGCGTTGTGAGTGGTGGACAGCGCCCAGCCGAGGCCGAAAAAGTCTGTGGGGTTCAGCTAGGTGGTGCTCGGCTGGGCTCGGCGCAGCCTGGGCCCGGGGCTCGGAGGGACTCGGTATTGTTCGGAACCGAATCGGGTTGCAACGGAGAGAGCCGAAGTCATTCGGAAACCCTGGAAGGAAGGGAAAGAGAAGAATGGGGGGGGGGGGAGATATGATCTGCAAATTAACTTTGCCACCACCAAAGCCACTCATTATCTGCTTTTACTGAACATGACCCATAAATTAGGTTTGATTTAATAAGAAGTTTAAAAATATGTACTGGGTCCCCAAAAGGATACCTTGCCTTTTTTTTTTTTTTTTTTATTCAAGAGAGCTGTGCTCTGAGGAGATAGGTGTGCCACTTTAGAATGAAAATGCCTGACTATGTACTGGGGCAGGAAATCTTAAATGAAGGCTGTATGTAGACTTTCTGGTGAAAGTCCTTTGTGTTTTGTATTTGGTTACACATTGTTTGATACTTGAGACCATTAAGTTAGAAATCAGATAATTCCTTGCTTTTTCTTGCACTTCCCCCTTTCCTCAGTCCCATTGGACCTTTAGGGAGAGAAATGTTAGGCAAAATAGATTTTGTAGTTTAAATATTAGTTCTATTTTAAAATAAAGCGCAGTACACCAACTCTCTTTAGGAAATAAGCTAGTTTTCTTCAGGGATTTGGTCAGAAAAGTGTCTGGCCCATGTAAATTTTGCCATGAGGGACCCCTAGCATAGTGTCCTCATGAAGCACTGATGAATGGCAATTTTCCTGTGAGCCCTCCAGCATGGTTTAAAATAAATCAGACCAAAGCTTTTTGCTAAGCTGGATACAGGACTTGTTTTATTAGCCACAAAGTGAAGGGTTGGTGTCACTGTATTCTAATGACAAGTTCGCTTGAGTCTTCATTTGCAGACATGGCTTTTAAGATCACTGTGTCACTGAGAGTCGCTTTGAGTGAGGAGCATGTTATTTTCTGTGTGGAGCCAGCCACAGAAATCTTGGTAGCATTTATAGAAAGCAGTTTTTTACTTTTCCCTGCAGTATAATTGGCAACCAACCTAGCAGGCCATATGCATCAGTGAATTAGAGTGCTGTGTTGTTTCACCTGGTCAAATGAAATTAGCTAGTCCTCTATGACTGACACCCTGTGAGAACCCAATATTTCCTAATGGCAGTTGAGCATGAGTAGCATAGTCTATTGGATTGAGAGGAAGAATATCAATATTCAGACACTGCTGAACCTTTGCTATTTCCAGAAAAACAAAGTTATTCTATTTAAGCTGTGTTCTTATCCATGTTGTAGAGTGATGATTAGAAGAAGGAACAGGCTTCCGTATATGTCTGTAGAAACTGAAATTAAACGATAAAAGAACCAGCTGGCAGATGCTGCTTAGAACAATGTTAGCATCCTCATCAGCTCAGGAACATTGCAGAGAGCTGACCTTTGAAATTTTTTTGCTTGATACATGTTAAAGGGGAAACTGCTTAAGAGATACAACAGATTAGATTGTACTTAGAAACTTGATTCTCAACACTTTTTTAAAAGTTAACTTCTCTTGAACATAATTTTCTGGATTTTTCTCCCTTTGTACATATGATTGTGAATTAGTGTTTGGGAGCTTTGCGTCAGCCAATCTAAAACATTTCAGTGCTGACAAATAGTGATGATTTAGTCCACATAAGTATAAGTATAATTTTACATATACTATGAGTAATCCTTGCCTCTTCATGTGCAATTTTAATAATTTTGCTTATTTTCCTCACCTTTAATATAGCCTTGTTTTGCACTCTTATTCAGACTAACAAAACTTTTAAAGCAGTGTCATTTTTATTGAATTACCACAGTCTTAAAGGAAATCTCTTAAAGAATTATATTTTACAATGTGTAAATCCATACACTGTCACTTTAACTGAATTTCCAGTTTAGAACAAGTGCTTGTCACTGCTTAGACTGCGTATGTAATGAAAACACCAAGTGAACTGTGGAGCTTCCCTGGGAAGGTACCACCCTTACCCGCATTTGAGGTTCTGTATTTACTGGGATGTTGAGTTCAGGTTGTCTTAGGAGCATTAAAAAGGGTTTTTTTTGTTTTTGTTTTTACAAAGAGAGTTCAAAGTTGGCAGCAAGACATTGCTTGCTCACTGGTAAACTTAACCTAAACAGTAAAATGGAGCATTTCAGATATGTGTTTATTTCTAAGGTACCTTGCTTAGGGCTATTTAATACAAATTTAAGGCTTTGCCTGATAAAGATATCACTGTTTATCCACATATTCCAGCCCTTACAAGTAGAATATGGTTACAGATTCCACCCTGTCAGGGAAGGCATTCTAAAAGGTTGCCTGATGACAAAAAGCTGGTGATTCCCTCTTCCCAGTTTACCCTGACTTTGTAATTAGGGTATCTGCTATTTGGTTCAGGTTCAAGGCAAACCTATGTTTCCTTTCAGCATGTCATGTACTATTTAGCACCTACTAAGTGGTAGGCATTAGGGGAGGCAAATGTCAACTTGTAATCTTAGCTCTGAAATCAGAGCAATCTAGAAGGGCATTTCCCATATGTACCTAAAGGATCCTATGTTGTGGTTGCATGCAACTGATAGCTACCCTTCTAGACTTGTGGACTTAATATTTCTGCAATCATCATGTTGACTGCATTGCCTACCTCACCTCCTTCTGTCTCCATGTTTATTCAAATGGATGCACCTTGCTCTCTGGAGACTGTGAGCATGAACAGAATGTCAAATCAAGTGGCAGATGAATTCTTCTTGGATCATGGATGGGGCTCTTTCCCTCCTTGCTGTTCAGTGAGCTGTAAATACCAGCAGACCTTCCTGCTAGAAGAGTAGCAAACAGTCCACCTGATTTCCTCATAAATCAGCTTTGGAATTCCTGAACTTCAATTACTCATTGGATTCTGAAATGTAACCTGTATGCTTGTGGAAAAGGTTGTTGTCAGGTTGTTAAATGAGTGAAGCTTCATGTGGATTGCTTTGGGTAAATAGGAATCCAGGATTTTTTTTCTATATGTGGAGTGGATGAGATTTACTATGCCAAGAATCAACGTGTCATAATTTTGTTTTGTTTTAGCATCAGAAGCTCTCAGATTATATTGTACTTCTTAGGGTGCCAGATCTTTACGAAATAGGAC